AAAGCGTACGCATTAATTTGAAATTATTTTTTTTTCAACTCAAAAGATTATGTATAAAAAGTTTTAGTACAATTTATGGAAATTGCAATGTATTTTATACTTTTCTCAATTCAATTACAAAGAATGATCTATAACTTATTCAAATGATTATATTTGTATTTGAAGTAGTTTTGGAGATTTGTATTTAAATTGATATTTTCAGGACATCATCTTTTGATTTCAGGATATCATCTTTTGGAAGCACAAATTTATGATTTTATTTTCGTTTTCCTGTATAATACAATAACTTTTCCATGTTCTTTGAAAATCAAATCATTGTAGAGGAAGTGTATGTGTTTCCACTTTAGAATTAATCTGGACGGTTATAAAACCTTATTGCAATGAGATGTAAATTAAAATAACTGATCTGAAAGTCTTCATGAAATGAAAGAGGGGCGAAAGATACCAGAGGGACAGTCAAATTTAAGATCGAAGATAAACTTACAACGCCATGGCTAAAAAATAAAAAGACAAACAGACAAATAATAGTACACAAGACACAACATAGAAAACTAAAGACTAAGCAACACGAACCCCACCAAAAATTGGGGGTGATCTCAGGTGCTCCGGAGGGGTAAGCAGATCCTGCTCCACATGTGGCACCCGTCTTGTTGTTCATGTTATTACAAATCCGGTAAATAGTCTAATCCGGTAGGAATCCGAAAAGATGTAGAGAGTTTGATATTTTGTTTATACTATATATATATAAAAATGTCACATGGATTCAGAAAGTATTGATGCTTTTATTGCCCTCATCTCTCTGGCATGTCGATAAAAGACAGAAGTGAAACTCATACTATATATTTATAAGTATGTTTCAATATTTCCTTAGCAATAACTAAGTTAATTTGTCATATTTATATATAATTTCAATGTTTAAGAATTTTAAAAATTTTATAAAGACTCTTGTCTTCTGTGGGAATATTAGCCGTTTGTACTTGACCTTTTTTCATCTTTACATATAAACTACAAAAAAGGAAAAAAAGTAAAGTTAGAACTATGTGATACATTTAAATTGGAAAAAGGGTCAGTACAGTGTGCAAACATTCCTGTAGAGAACAAGAGTTGTATACAAATTGAAAAAGGAGGACAAGTACAATGAACAAATATTCCTGTGCTCGAAGAATCACCAGTTTCTCTAATTTTTTTCTATATATTTTACTTAATAATAGGAATTTTAATTATCATTTAGTTATTCATGGATTTAAAAACAGGCAACCTCCTAAATGTTATTTGATAAAAAAAAATCGAACAGGTACTGGAGTATTGATGCTGGTTTTACATGATGACACATGCTGTGTTTGTCAACATAGTGAACACACTTTTCAGCATTCATTAATCTTGCTTAATTAAACCTTTAAACTATCAACATAATTTAAGATAATGTGTTGTTCAACTACAATTCCATTGGAATTGGGTAATTTAGTATCTTCAAATCTGCAATATCATTATTTTTTTTAATTTTATGTCTTAATTAAACCCTTAAAAAGTAATTATTATTATCATACTGTAACACAAAAAGCGAATATATAAAGAGGATGTTGATCCTTATTTATATTTGTTATTATTACGCCATCAAACACGGGGGTGATCTCTTGTGATCTAGAAGGTTAAGAATATCCTGCTCCACATGTGGCATCCGTTGTGCTGCTCATGTAAGTACAAATCCGATGATGCGTCTAATCCGGTATGTCATATTCGAGGAAATTATGATGGATTTTTGTTTCGACAATTGGAACATATCCGTCGTCGTTTATGAAAAAGAACTTCCCTAACGGTCAACTTACTCGTAATGACGTCCATAAATTTTCGAAGGAATGATTTACACTTCACCGCTTGGAACTCTTGGTTTAAAAAGTAAAATAACAAAAATACCGAACTCCAAAGAAAATTCAAAACGGAAATTTCTTTATCAAATGACAAAATCACAAGCTCAAACACATCAAACGAATGGAAAACAACTGTCATATTCCTCACTTGGTACAGGTATTTTCTTATGTAGAAAATGGTGGATTAAACCTGGTTTTATAGATAGCTAAACTACTCACTTGTATGAAAGTTGCATATATTTCCATTATATGGACCAGAATGCGTGAACAAAGCAAACAGACATTTGTGCCTGATATTCATATGATGAAGACATAATCTTTCAATCAGTTTAATTGAGGTCTGGAGCTGGCATGTCAGTAACTGCTAGTAGTCTGTTGTTATTTATGTATTATTGTCATTTTGTTTATTTTCTTTTGTTTCCTATTCTGACATCGGACTCGGACTTCTCTTAAACTGAGTTTTACTGTGCGTACTGTTGTACGTTTGTTTTTTCTACATTGGCTAGAGGTATAGGGGAAGGGTTGAGATCTCATAAAACATGTTTAACCCCGCCGCATTTTTGCGCCTGTCCCAAGTCAGGAGCCTCTGGCCTTTGTTAGTCTTGTATCATTTTTAATTTTAGTTTCTTGTGTATAATTTGGAGTTTAGTATGACGTCCATTATCACTGAACTAGTATACATATTTGTTTAGTGGCCAGCTGAAGGACGCCTCCGGGTGCGGGAGTTTCTCGCTGCATTGAAGGCCCATCGGTGGCCTTCGGCTGTTGTCTGCTCTATGGTCGGGTTGTTGTCTCTTTGACACATTCCCCATTTCCATTCTCAATTCTATAATAGGTCAAAAAGTCAAAAATTGGAGTTCAGCAGTCAACATTGTGTTATAATTATAATCTTAATCACCATAAAACAAATAACTAGTTAAGAAATGGAAGCTCTTGAATATCGTATCAACTCGGAGATATATACTCCATATGCAGGCTCTGCTGGAATGTTACTACATAAAAATAGAAATCTGAAATCATTTCTTTTGTTGTAAACATTTGTTCTCAACCGACCCTTATTGTCAATTTCAAGATGTAAGTCAAGATATGAGGCAGACTTAATTGTATCTGTTGTTCCAAGCTCGATGAGATAGATGTGTTCACCATAGTCACCATACTTTGATTTATATAATGAAAGGACATCATCTATCTAGCGGAACGTGAGGTTGAAGAATGATGATAACTTCTTGTCATTCTTCCAAAGAAAAACTCCTGTATATAGTCAACATCATTTGAATCGAGGAACAAGTTGTCAAGAAGTGGATCACAGCTGGGTTCAATGGAAATTCCGATTGTTTGTTGAAATATTCGTTCAATTAACGTAACAAATATTTTGTCAACCATGAAATCAAACATTTTAGTTGTCAGTTTCAGAGATCGTTTTGTTTGAATCCGCGTGGTTTTTTTTTGACAAGGTACGATTCATCCCTCCTTATGACAAGGTACGATTCGTCCCTCCCTATGACAAGGTACGATTCATCCCTCCCTATGACAAGGTACGATTCATCCCTCCCTATGACAAGGTACGATTCATCCCTCCTTATGACAAGATACTTGTGTTTTCGTTGGTTATTTCTTTTTCATGAAACAAAGTAGGACCAATTCTTTTAATTTGTCTTTTAGTTTAGACTTGGGAATACTTGTGTAAAGGGTAGAAATTTTGTCTATAAACTGGCTTTGTCTTGTTAATGGGAGATTGTCCAAGGATATATTTTGTGTATATTGAGACAATATTTCATGGATGGATTGTCATGAATTTTTGTCTCATGAAAGGGAAGTTATAAACATTTCATTTTTAAGATAATGTTATCATTGCAGTATTTTATTTGATGGATGATAACAAAAAAAACCCTGCACAATTAGTTTATGTAGGAATTCATGGTTATACACATACTTTTTATGAAAAAATATTTTTAAAAATCAAGAAACACTCACAATTTTATGGCAGAGGGATTCTCAGGGAAGACATAATTGGATAAATAAATATTTTTGATGGACAATATTTCACAGTAATATATTATCATGGACCGAATTTCACTGTGTTAATAGATGTTTTGATATTAGATATAAGGCGATTTCTATCCTACGCAGCTCTCATTTCGCAGAGAATGTTCAGGTCACCAGTAATAAAATAGCCAGTTGGATTACATATGAATACAGAATTAGACAATGTGCAATCAGGAGTTTTAGACTTAGTCGTCAACATTGAGATCCTCTAACTCGTGTTTTTAATTGAAGATTATAGTCGCAATTGTTTTGGTATAGGTATAAGAGATTGATCAGGTATTTTCGAGTGAACTGGTTTATTATAAACGATCTTGCCCATGTTGATGGCATCGAGACCTTTGTTGGCAAAGACAATTTTAAGAAAGGATCTTTTTGTCCTTTTCATCTTTTCCAATACAAAACTGTCTGACAAGTCGTGTGACTGGCACTATTCGAGATGATATCTGTAATTTGATTAATGAAATTCGATGCAGTAAATATGGATGTTATTACGCAGTAAAGTATAATAATGTCTCGAAAATTTCCTCTTGTTTCATCGATAAGTGTGACTATGTTTCGCAAATTACCACCACAATGCTTTATTTCATCAAAAATAAATTCGTTTGTAAATGTTTGTCTATGATTGTACTATATAAAATAAGGAGACGTGGTATGAATGCCAATGAGACAACTATCCACCAGAGTTCTTTGAAGTAAATATAAGCAATAATAGGCAACCGTACGGCCTTCAAAAACTGGAAAATCAATAGCGTATGCTAGGTAATCTCTGTGTTGAGTTAACCAAGATCATGTATCAATTTTTTTATGGATCTGAAGGTGTTGGTTTTGTGGGTTTTTTCTTTTCAAACATTGACATTAAAATTGTTACTGTATTGCTGATCAATAGAGATTATTCAAATCACACCAATACTTTATAAACAGTCTAATAAATGAATAGACATTTGCATATAAATGACTTGTAAGCGATTATCATATCGTTTCTTAATTGAAATGGGGTCTTTCTTGTAATCCATTCGAAAGCAACATTCTCACTTTAGGTCAACATGAAAGATAAGCTTTTTAACCTTTTATGTTCATTTTTTTTATTTAGCATTGTACAACAAGACAGGGATTCTCTTTCAGCTCAGCCTCAAATGGATTTGTCATGGGGATACAATCTACATTGTTCCTAGTACCGTATCGTCGTATTTTAACAGACTCTGCTTTGCCGTCTTTTTCCACAGAATCTATTCTTACTGCATTATTTACTGCCATTCCTGGGCTCTCGTCAAAGTAGTTAAATGGCAAAAGAAAAAAGCTTCGAGACATTCCTGTTGTATGTGTTACGGGTATGTCTTCCTTCTGTGGAATATGGTGCATACCCATTGCTACCCAGGCAACCAGGTCCTGTCAATATAAATATACAATATATGCGAATACTTCTGTAGGTTGGATAAAATTGTAGAACTGTATGAGCTAAAAATAAAAATAAAAGCAACACTTTATAACTTTGCTGTATCTGAACGCTTTTCAGGATTAACCTTCATGAGGAACGCTCAAAGACGAATATTTGAAATCGAATGACATATTAGAACAGAAACAGTTAAAGAGTTTTATGACAAGAAAGGATATAAAAATAATAGTCGAATCCATCCATCTAAATGAATATTTATGTTCTTGTACAACAAAGGATTATCCAGATCTCTTCTCTATTCAGTCAGAGGAAAGTCACCGAAAAATGGCCAGTCAGAAGTTTAACCTGAATAGTGTAGGTTCGTACAATCCCAGAATCTTTTATGCTCACATAGGAAATGGTCAATAACTGTGCAGCACGTCAACGTGACAAAAAGACATTTTGACTATTCAAATCTATTCAGACAAGACTTAAAAACAAAGTCAAGTTCATTTATTAAAGAAAACGTCGACATAGACTGTCCGTTTGAACCAAACTTTAACTTTAACCATTTATGACATTAACAGTACCAATTTTACTGAAATCCCTTTTCGACGATTAATATATCTTCAGTGATGCTCGAGTTAACAACTGAAGGTCACAGTAAGGCCTTCAAAAAGTGAATAAAAAAAAATCACTGAAAATCAACTATCTTTTTCACGACTCGCATGCATTTTCCGCATACCATGACGTAAGGACTGATGGAAAGCAGATATGTAGACTTGTCTGGTCTAAGGCAGATATGTCATTAGAACAATTCCCAAAAAAGCAGACTAGGTCTTGTCTTTCACAGATGAAGCCAACTTGCTGCAAACTTATCAAGTTAACTTTGAAAGTTATTAAAATATCTGCTCTAGAATATCTTTCGTGCAGGTTATAACCGCACCCATCTGTCGCTTCTTATCTGTTCGATAGAGGAAAAATGTTTGAAAAGCCAGCTTGAGAAAATATATATCAAGAAGGAAAAATAGTAGAAACAAAAGGATCCCCACTTTTTTACATTACACTTTTGTCAGCTACGTACAACACATGAACATTTGGGGTTAAGTTATATGTGAATAATTATTCAACAATTAGCATAGAATGGTAGACATGATTGATTATGAAAATAAATGAGTGTTAAACAATTAGACCAAAAATACTAAAGACATTAGATCTCTAATTCATACCTTACTTTCTACTTCCGGAGAAACTCTAACATATCATTACGTTATCCGCAATGAAGGGTGGATATTAATCACAGAAATCATTGCTACATTAAAAAAAATTCTTACTATATGATTTACCTGATCTACAATATTTTCGTTATCGTCGATGAATTGTTGAAAAGTAAAGACAGGGTTCTTTGAATGTGCAAATAAGTTGCTACTTGCTGGTTCACTATCTTTGTACTTAGTAACGGCAACCTGATACTGAGACCAGCTGACAGCAGGGTTGTTACCGTCATTGGGAGGTAATATGTTTTTGGTCATTCCATTATTCACTAATCGATATCCTGCCGAATTTCCAAACTTGTCTTTTGCATTGTTATTAACAAAGGTAAGATACTTTGGAAAGTTGAAGTCAAATTTTGTGGCTCCTTCCAATTCTGAATGTTTCAGTCGTTTCATGAACATATTTTGAACAATAGTGGCATCGGGATCATCGCTTACTTCATTTGGAGTAACAACAGGTTCAATGTCAAGGGTTTCGAATCTGTTTTTGGTACCTTTTATGTCAAGGTCAACTTTGTAGTGAAACATGTGTTGATGCAAAGGTGCCATAAGATTATCATCGACTTGGAAGCTGAATGGATTCTCCTTTCCATACCACGAGGTCGCCATCATACCGGACGCTGTTACCTTAGTTTCAATTACGCCATTCTGGTAAAATATGAAATCCATCGTGTAATCATACAGCAGGATTGTCGGAATTGTTCTAACTATCATAACAATAGTCTCAGCACCTTCGTAAAAGCTATGAACAAATTTACGGTATGCATGATGTCGTCGAAGTGGAATCCCTGTGTTCAATTCAAAAACACAAAACGCATGGGCATTGAAAAGTGGTTCATCGCTTGATTCCATTTTGAAAGAAGAACTAATAAATGTAGCATCAGATGGACAATCAACTCCCGGAACCAAATATTTCGATAAAGCACCGGTCTTATATCTGTTATCTTGGAAAAAAGCTGTATATTCAGAAGGCTTATAACCAGAATACATATTTGCAAGTTCCTGGGAACTAATTTCGTATGCAATACGTTCTTTTTTATATCGAATGTCATTGAGCCTTGGTCCTAACATAGGGGCAATTGCAACATCAAATTCCCAGAAACCATAGGAGATATGTCTGTCGTTTATATTATATCGTTTACCATCGGGGGAAACCTGTTGTGGGTCCCTCATGGACTTCTTAAATGGAGGCATACCTCTGGACGTTACAATACGACGAGAATTTCGAGTGACGTCAGGAAATGGTACTTTTTGTATGTCATGCTTATATTTGTGGTAATACTGAAGTACATCTTCTAAACATGAAAACAAATTTCCATCAAACCATATTTTTATGAGCGAAAATTTATCGAGATCCCATTCAACCAAAAAGGCAAAATCTAAAGGTCTCAATAAATTATACTCTACGTCATGTTTAATCGACCAAAAAAATCTTCGCTTTTTAACTCCAGATATTACCGAAGTCACCTGATGAACGAAGTTACTAATCAAGCATCTGTCACCACAATTTACTAAGCGCCCTCCGTACAAATAAAACAACATGTCACCGATTTTCTTGTCTAAGAAATCCAAAACTTTTCCTATACTGTCTGCTGCATTACTGTAGGGTCTGTCTATAAACGGAAGGGATTTAGGTTGGTATGGAACATGTCTATATCCTGAAGGGTTTGATAAAGGACCAACAACTAATTCTATCACATCTGGTTTTGCAATAGCTCCCCTGAAAATCATTACACGGGCTTCTCGTTGAGGTTGAGGAAATCCATTATCAAGATAATTTAGGACATCTTGTTTTGGAGGCAGGTAAAGATCAGCAACAAAAATGTAGTTTGAAGTAACTGAAGCTTTTGCAGCTACAGTGAGGTTTAAACTTGAATCAGAATAAAGAAAATCCAATAGACATTTAATCTCTCTTTCTGTTAAATCGCGGAACACAGAGGGATGATCATTCTCGCGTGTATCAATGTTTCCATAGTGGTATGAAGGTCGTCTGCAAATCGGCAGTTGGGAAATTGTTTCTGCAAAATACAAATCTATATTGAGATAGGTTCACTAACCAACAAACATTTCTACTGCATTTGAATGAGCTAACATAATTCGATAGTTATTATGAGTGTCCAATTTGCCGAATACAAGCTTATTAATCGGTTTTGTGGCATAATTTGCGCAGTTTTTGTTGTTACATTTGTACTTTAAGGCTTTCGTAGTGATAAATGTAAAATGGTTTTTAAACATTCTCTCACAAATGTATGTTTGTTGCCGAATAAATTCACAATTGCAACATATTTTTTTAAAGTTTGACGTCTTCCCGTAATGTGTATGGCATTTTATAATTTCTAAAAGTTACCCATTTTTCTAACTCACTGTTCTTTGTTTCGTTTGGTTGCATCAAGGTTCTCTATTTACCCTTCCAGATCACCTGAGACCATCCCGGTTTTGGTGGGGTTCGTGTAGCTCAGTTTTTAGTGTGTTTTGTGTACTGTTGATTTTCTTTTTTTTTGCCATGGCATGTTCAGTTTGTTTTCAACTTATATGTTTGATTGTTCCTTTGATATAATAAGTTTATCCTAGATAGAGTCGTTTGACTCTCTTTTACTTAAGCATACGAAAGAAAGATAGTATGGAATGGGTTTTGCATATAAAATATTCTTAGATATAATAAATTTATCCTAGATAGAGTCTTTTGCCTCTCTTTTACTTAAGCATACGAAAGAAAGATAGTTTGGAATGGGTTTTGCATATAAAATATTCGTTGATATAATATTTTTTTTTCAATCAGTAAAAAATCTAACAATCCATCAAGCTCTCAACAATGAAGATCTATATATGTTTTACTGGCATTTTGTGTGTTAACTTCCTGTTGTGTTATTTTGTGTTACAGGTTATGGTTTCTTCCTGATATAAAGTTTGACAATGAAGAGCAATTGTCGGAGCTGGGTTAAGGCGACAGTAGTTTACCGATGTTTTAATCTCTCAAAAAGACAAGGAAGAGGAAAATGAAGGTAATGAACAAAAACCGAGGCAATTGCATGAACTCTATAAGGAGCAAGAAAGGGTGTTTCGACAAGGTAAGCGTGTTTTGCTATGCATGCATCACCTGCCATGCAAAAAAAGTATTAACAAAAATACCAAATTCCAAGGTAAATTCATATAGGGAGAGGACGTTATCAACACTGGATGGTCCTAATTCAGATAATCCGAATTTTGAATCTGATTATGTGTATTATTATATGACCATGAATATTACAATATTGTAAAAGATTGATTGATTGATTGTTGGTTGCTTTACGCCGCATTAGCACAACAAGGCTATATCTCGGCGAGAGCTAATTCGAATATTTTTAACAATTTAAAGCATATTCTTAAAATCAGACAAAAGGCCCTTCAATAAACTAAAATTCTAGATTAAAGCAAATTGTATTGTAAAAGAAAAAAAAATGACCTTAATAAACAATATAAACAATAGTGTGCCCTTTTTTATAATGTGGAACATATTGATGAAGATTATAATGAAAATTTCCCAGCAAGTGTTATTGGTGGAAACTAGGGGTTAAACTATTAATTTATAATGAAAAAGATAAAGGGGTTCTTGATTTAACATATTAGTCAAAAAGAAGACAAAGAAGCAAATATTATTGAACTCATTCAGATGAAAACAAACAACAAGAAAATAAGGAAGAAAAAAGATAAATAGTAAATTGGCATGTCCAAGGATTAAATAGACTGAGGTAGGCTAAAAATACAGAACTTCAAGGAAAATTCAAAACAGAAAGTCCCTTATCAAATGGTAAAATCAAAAGCTCAAACACATCAAACAAATCGAAAACAACTGTAATATTCTTGACTTGGTATAGTAAATTTCTCCTTTTGGATTTTGTATTATATATACAAGATTTGTCTTTTTAGAGTGGTTGATGCTATTGACATTGATTGATGACATAAGTGTTACTTACCCTTCCGGGGCTCCTGAGATCACTCCCAGTTTCTGGTGGGGTTTGTGTTGCCCAGGTTTTTGTTTTCTATGCTGTGTTTTGTGTACTGTTGTTTGTCTGTTTGTCTTTTTCTTTTTTAGCCATAGCGTTGTCAGTTTAATTTCGAATTATGAGTTTGAATGTCACTTTGGTTTTTCCACTTCTTATCGCTTAAAGTGAAAGAATTCGAACTGGATGTTTAAAAAGGTACTAGTGCCATCTTCTTATTTTTTTAAAATGCTGTCCGAATTACATATCTAATTTGTTCTTTTATACTTTTACGAATTATCAAATACTTACTTCCTGATGTCCATTTCTGGAAAGGATTGAAACACTTCCCACCATGTCTCTGTAAAAATTAGTTTTAACTTATCATCTTACAATAATTAAATGAAAAGGCATTGGAATAATATATTATAATTCATGATATTCCTATAAACCCGTGTTTTCTTTCATCTTTAGTCTGCTGTAAATAAAAATAAATGAAGTTAACAAGTATTCAATAAGGGATCACTTCATTAAATGTTAAAAGCATTGAAGTAAATGAATTTATTTGAACTATTATTTTATGGGCTTTCTACTAATTGCAGTTTTATGTGCACCAAAGTACGTTAAACAACATATGTTTTCGAATCAATCGTCTACCCAAGCACTTATGTTTTTAATTTTTTGCACTAAGAGGTGTTTGTTGAATTGTTGCATTGACTTTGCTTTCCATATCGTTTTTAAATGATAGTTAATAAAAATTATCATACTTTTCTACAGATAATTAAGTATTATTGTATATATCGTCTTTAAGATTTGCCGGTCAAATTGTGCTTGTCATGCATGCAATTCGACAAATTAGGTATATTATCACACAATTTTATGTTTATATGTGAATATCCCACAATTTTAAGATGGCTTTTCATTAAGGTAATGTAATTATCATAATGACTAACAAGATGTTCAAATGACTTAGATTATTCTTTTAAATGATGTAACCGTTTATTGTGCTCATTTGTTTCAAAAGTAACCTTCATCAGACGGTTACGACCAACGTTTTTCGAATGCAAATTATTGAACTTGGTGAAAATGAGAAGCAATTAAACTATAACAAGATGTAAGGCCAAAACAGTGCAGTTCATACAATAATTATCGATGTATGGGTGAAAATTTAAGTCAACATTACATGTTTTTAATTTTCTAATTAATGAAAAGATTAACGTACAAGAAACGTGCGTCTGGTGTACAACTGTATTAACCTTTTATCTTTCGTGAGTTTTAAATCACTAGGTCGATGCGTCAGCTCGTGGAAGTTTCGACCCGAGGTTATCGTCTGCTTATAAATATTCAACCCCACGTGATTGCAATATAAAAGAAAACCACAATTTTGAATCACATTCTTAATTCTTAATATAAAGTATTAAATGATCTTATCTGAAGATGTTAAACTTTAAAAAAAAAAAAGTAATAACTTTCGGCTTTAAAAGGGCATTTACTACGAATTAGATAACAAAAAAACAAAAAACAAAAAAAAATTGTTCTTGTTTCAAGTATTTAGAATAACGGAATAAAAATATAATATTCCGCTTATAGAAGTCATTTGTTTCAATTTGGTCAAACTAAGCTTAAACATTGTTCATGTATTATTGCCTTGCAAGTATTTATACAACCTTTAGTGAAGATTGGTTGCGCATTTGGTCATCATGGTCATTCAATAAAAGGAAGAGACTGTCAACAATGAAAAGTGAAACAAGGTAGACACCAGGCATTCATATTCGTTGACTGATCCACAATCATTGTTTTACAGGTAAACACGATGAACTATAACATGAAATCAAAACCTACTAGCGTCTATGTATATTTATGTTTATATCGGGTTATATGACCGTCGGAAAAATGTATGTTTCACGGAAATCATAGAATATCCTGCTTAAAACTTCAGTGATCAAATAAATCATAACCAATCAAAATTAGATTGCCTGTAATTGTTGTCAATAAAAGAAATACAAGTTCCTTGTTCTTATTTTAATGATTACTTTATTTATAATATGATGAACTTTTCAAAACCATCTGCCTGTCATTTAGTTTCTATTACTTCATTTTGCTTTAATTTTGACTGAGCCGTATGTAGGTTATGATAAAGACGTTAGAAACACTGGTTGGATGTAATTAACTCTGAGTATTACTAACTCAATGGCCAATATTTTGGTGTAGGAGTGATTGGGATAAATAAACTCATCATAGATTTCAGACTTGCATTTCGTCTTCAAGTCGAAAATAAACTGACAACGCCATGGCTAAAACGAAAAAGACAAATAAACAACCGTATACAAAACACAACATAGAAAACTAAAGACTGACGAATTTGAAGAGTATTGAGGACACTAAATTCCGAAAGGTTTTGCCAAATACAGCTAAGCTAATCTATTCCTGAGGTAGAAACTCCTTTGTATTTAAAAAAAAATGGGTTCAAATGAAATTATATGAAAGATCTTTAACTTACGCATTTCAATTCCTGGGTAATTACAGTAGAAAAGAACATACAGAGCAGCAGAACACTTAGCATCATACTCATATCTATGGCAGCACAACTCAGAAGTGAATGTCAAACTATATATATTGGGTGTAGGAATCAAAGCTGAACTAATGATTCTTAAAAAAACATTTTTGTTAAGTGTAATTAAATTGTAACAAGCTTATCATGAAATCGCTTGAAAAAAATACAGTATTTAGAATGCTTGGTGGGATGATTAATGTATAAGCTCAATAGATATATAATGAGAACTGTACTTATCTTTATTCATCCGAACAAATATTGGGTTCATTTCCCTAAGAACCATGATATAATTTATTTTTGCAATATTTTTTCAATCATAAAATGTCATTTTCATACCTCTGGACGTTAATGATCAAAAGTTGTGTTAAACAGGTCAAACAAAAAGTTCACACATTTTCCACTATTAGAAACTGCTTGATTCCGGAAAAATATACGTTGCAATTGCAACAAAAAGCTTCTTTTTCCATAACTTTCTAAAAGTGGATAATATATTAAAATGAAATATTGGATCTGAAGAGAACGTTTTCTTTTACAAATTGAAACTGTCCACGTGGATTGCAGAGTTTTGCAAATTGAAATTATCTACGTGGATTGCAGTTTTACAAATTGAAACTGTCCACGTGGATTGCAGAGTTTAAACAAAAACCTGAACTACGACAAAAATGTCGAATCAAAGATGGGGCCCCTCACGGGTGTCCAAGTAATCACATAATCACAATTTTTTTTGCCAATATAATCACACAATCATTAATTATTTATTTAAACAAGATAACCAAATAATCAAAAATACAATCCTAGATTATCAGATAATCAAATAATCAAATAATCATGAAATATT